AGAGTCTCCCATTTACGGACTCAGCATGAATGCTCTGTCCATCCCACCGCAGGCTGGCTCTCTCCCAGGTGTCTGCTGCTGTATGTCACGTGTGCTCAGCGTTCTTCTATGTGACTTTTCACTGGGTATACATTTGAGGTGGAGCTGCAAGGCCACAGACAGGACGACGTTTCACTCCACAGGTGTGTTCAGCTACCAGGGAGGGGGCACCATTCACACTCCCGGCTGCCCCACAGCCCTGCCGGCACTCGGCATGCTCCTGCGTTTTCATTTGTTCTTTTTAGTTGTGTTGGTGGGTGTGAGGTGTGCACAGATGGAGCATCGTGGGTTAACTCTGCCTGCTTCTAATGACACATGCTGAGCACACACCCATGTGCTTACCAGCCATTCCGACGTCCCTTTTGAACGTGCGTGCCCAAGGTGTTTGCCCTTTTATGTTTTTGAATTGAGTTGTCTGCCTTTTTCCTACTGATTTGTAAGAGATCTTTATATATTATGAAGTCCTTTCAGATACGTGATGTGCAAATGTCTTCTCTCACTCTGTGGGTCACCTCTTCGCTCTCTGAGGGTCGTACAGACTGTGACAAAGTCAAGTTCATCACTTTTTCTTTTTAGTAAGTACATTTTCATCTGTGTGGAAGGAAGATAGCCTCCTATGGTAGCCTCTAAAAGCTTCACTGCCTTACCATTCACATTTAGATCTGTGATACAGGGAAGTGTTCTGAGCCTGGGTGAACCGGGGTGAAGGATCTGTTGGGGGTGGCAGCCTTGTGCCAGCAGTGCTCCTGCCCCCTCCCAGCCACACAGCGATGGCCCCGGGCCCGCAGCACTTCCTGGCTGGGAGGGTACTCACAGCCTGAGCTGGCTTGTCGCCTCGTGTGGACATCCTGCCCTGCACGCCGCTCCTCAGTCACTCTGACACCAAGATGAAGTGTTGGGACCTGTACTTGCCGTGTGCTCGACAGGACCTTTCCCAGCTCAACCATCAGCCAATCAGCACCAAGTCCTGTGCAAATCCTGTGTCTCCCACTGCGTGGCAGTGCACCTCCCACGAACCAGGTAATCACGTACGAGTGAGTCTGCATCTATATGCGACTCTGATCCCACTGGTCTGTTTGCTTAGCCTTCAACAAATACCACGCGGTTCCAATTTCTATTGCTTTATATTTTGTTCTGATACCTGGGAATGTAAACCCTCAGTTCTGTTCTTCAAAATTGTCTTCATCATTCGGGGGTCTTTATGTTTCCATATAGATTTTATGGTCAGTTTGACAATTTACACACACATCATATACAAACACATATTCTAAACCTGCCAGGATTTTTATTTGGATTGTATTGAACCTACAGAACCACTTGGTGAGAACTGACATCTTTATACATCAAATTTTCCAATCTACAAATACGGTGTGTGCCCCTCCATTATTTAATCTTCTGTAATTTCTCTCAGTAATGTTTTATAGTTTTCTGTAGAGAAGCTTCAACAACTGGTCATAGATTTCTTCCTAGTTTTGATGCTATTATAAATGCTATCACTTTTTAAGTATCATTTCCAAATTGTCTTTTGCTGGCACACACAATGTTTTCTTGCATACTGACATGATGACAGAAATCCTGTTACATTCACTTACGAACTCTTCAGTTTCATCAGATTCATTCACATTTTCTAGTTACACAATCATGTTGTCTATGAAGGGGTTTTAAACCTTCCCAATTTTAAACTTTTTATTTCTTTTTCATCTCTTATTGCACTGGATATGCCCTCAGCGCAATGGAGAATAGGAGCAATAACACTGGACACCATGTCTCCTCCTCACTCTCAGGAGATAAGATTTTAATATCTCACCAGTGAGTGTGCTGCTGACTGTTAAGACTTTTGAAGATACCCTTTATCAGATTAAAGGCATTCCTATCTACTCCTAGTTTGCGGAAAGTTTTCAGTCCCCCTAAGTGGGTACTGAATTTTACCAAATGCTCTTCCGTGTCTATTGAGATGATCAAATAGATTTTCTTTCTTACTGAATTAACTTGGTAAATTACTCTGATTATTTCTGAATGTAAACCACCCTTGCAACCCTAGAATAAATCCCACTTTATAATGATGTATTACCTTTATATATATAGCTAGACTTAGCTTATTAACATTTTGGTTAGGATTTTTGCTTCTATGCTCATGAGACAGCACGTTATTTTCCATTGACTAGCCTCATAAAGCAAGGTGGGATGTATACCCTCTTTTAACATTCTATATAAGAGTTTGTGTAAACTGGTATTATTTATTCCTCAAATATTTGGGAGAATTCATCAGTAAAGCCATCTAGTCTGAAGTTTTATTGCTAGGATGTTTGTTAATTACGGATTTCATTTCTTTAATAAATACTGGACTTTCCAGATTTTTTACACATCCTGGGAGGCTACATTTTTCTTTAAAAACTTGTATTTCACATAAGTTGTCAAATTTATCGGCATGAAGTTGCTAACAGTATCTTATTACTTTTTTTTTTTTTAGTTTTTAGAAGCTATAATGATATAGCCATTTTCATTACTGATACTAGTAATTTGTATTTTCTCTCTGTATCTTGATTAAACTTGTAGGATTTAACAATTTTATTAATCATTCTAGAGAACCAATCTTTGGCTTTGTTGAATTTGTCTATAGTACATCTATTTTATTTTTCACTGGTTTCTGCTTTTTCCTATATATTTTCTTTGGATTTAATTTTTTGTTGTTTTTCTAGCCATTTGAGATTGAGAATTAGATCACTAATTTTCACACGTGCTTCTTTTCTAATATATGTATTGAAAGTTATAAACTTCCCTCTAAGCACTGCTTTAGTTGCAACCCATAAGCTTTGATTTGTTGCATTTTCATTTTTGTTCAGTTCAAGATTATTTCTAATTCCTACTAGGGTTTCTTCTTTGATCCATGGGTTATTTCAAATTATATTATTTAAATTCTCAACCCCTGGTGTTGAGAATTTTATTACCAGATTCTAGTTTAATTGCACTCTGGTTAGAGAACATATTCAGTATTATGTCAGTCATGTAGAATCTGCTGAGACTTGCTTTACCATCCAGCATATGCATTATGTGTATATTCTCTTAGTGTCATAAATATCAATTAGGTCAGTGTATTAATCAGTAGTACTGCTTGAATATTTTATATCCTTCCTGAATTTTTTCGATTTATTTTATTAGTCATTTAGAGTGGTGTGTCATAATTTCCGACTATGATAGTGGATTTACTAGCTTTCCTTTTACTACTATCAGTTTTACTTTATATTTCTATTTTTGAGGGTATATTGTTAGGTACATATAATTTTAAAATTATGTCTTCCATTTGAATTAACTTTTTATCCTTATAAAATATACCTCTGTATGCCCACTAAGAATTCTTCATGTGAAGTCTACTTATTCTGATATTAACATGGCTGTACCAGCTTTCTTTAGCTTTTGGTTGCACAATATATCTTTTTTTCCATATTTTTACTTTCAGCATTTTTCTGGATTTATATTTAAGGTTTGACTCTTCTGAGCACTACGCAGTTTTTTTCTTTTAACCAAGTCTGACCATCTGTGCCTCTTAATTGGAAGGGTTAGTGCATTTTAGCTTAGCATAAGTGGTATAAAGCAACCGCCTTACAATTTATTTCCTATTTTTTCCTGTTTTGTGTTGATTTCTTTTTTTTTTTGGCTTTTAAATTAATCATTTGTTTTATTATTTCATAGGTACCTCTCTATTAATTTATGTTACAGTGTCTATTCTTGTACTGTCCTTTTAGTATTACCCACAATGCAATATGCGTCCTTGGATTATTACAGCCTACCTTACGTTGGTATTTTTGTCTCTTCTCTGATGACACAAGGACATTACAATACCTTAACACCATTTACCTCCTTTACGTCCTCTGTGCTGTTGCTGTACGAGTATTTTCATTTGCCCCATATCTTAAGCCTCGCAAGTCATTATTATTATTATTCAACACTCAACATGAATTTAGGTGTATCCACATTTTATTGTTTTCAGTGCCCGTAATTCCTTCCTCCATTACCATGCTTCCATCTGGGATTGTCTTCCTTTTTCTACTTTTAGAGAGCTCTGTGGATGAATTCTCTCAGTTTTTGTTTCTCTAAATAGGTTTTCATTTCACCTTTACTTCTGAAAAATATTTTCACCAGATGTAGAATTCCAGGTCGGTAGTTATTTTCTTTCAACTGTCCTCTGGTTTCCACTGTTTCTTTTAAAAAGTCAAGTGTAAGTCTCGTTGCTTTTTTTAAAAAATAATGTGACTTTTTCTTGGGCATCTAAGATTTTTTTTCTGGCTTTAATCTGCTTTTGAGATTTTATTTTTGTCTTTGGTTTTCAAGTTTTTATTATGATGTGACTAAGCGTAGTTTTAAGAAACAGGATAACTTCACCCTATTCATCACGGAGCTTTCTTCAATCTGTGGCTTGAAGTATCTGGACAGTTTTGGAAAATTCTCAACCATCACCTCTTCAAATATCGTTTCTGCCCATTCTCTCTCCACCCTGTTCATCTAGGACTCCAGTTACACTCTTTACTGGATTTTCTATCATTCCTCCTCACAGGAGGGCTGGTCTAACACAAGTTGGTCCTGTACAGTAGGTGGAACTGTCAGCAACCACCTCCCTGTATCAAGCCCATGCCGGAGACCTGAGGGTAAAATGTCAATTTCTTTTTCTGTGTTAAGGATATTTAATTCATAATTTTCTTTTCTTTTTTTTATCTACATTTTTATTGTAGTTGATTTACAATATTGTGTTAACTTCTACTGTACAGCAGAGTGATTCAGTCACACATGTATACATTATTTTTTATATTCTTTTCCATTATGGTTTACCATACGATATTGACTATAGCTCTCTGTGCTACACAGTAGGACCTTGGTCCTCCCTGCCCTTCCCTGGAGCCCCGATGGCACGGGACTCTATGCTGTCTTCTGACGCCCACTGACCAGGGTAAATACTCAGCACCCACCTGCTGCTTGCCAACCCTCTGTGCTGTGGGAAGCAGTGCTCTGGACTTTTCTGCAATTTTCTGTTGGATAAAGTACAAGAAAAGGGAGACAGGAAGAACAGAAAAGGTGGGGAAAAGAGAAGAAACAGTCAGATCAACACAGAGTACTGGACGATGACCAACAGCAAGGCACACCTTCAGCTGCCCCAGGACTCTGGAAAACTGGGAGTTTGGCTGGGCTTGGGGGCTGATCTGCTAGACGGCTTCCTCCCACACACTCGGGCGGGTGTGGAAGGATGGGTGATACCTGTTCTCCCACCTCCCAGGGGGCTGCCATGAGGACCCTCTTGGGCAGCACTCCAGAGGTAAACATCCCTCACCTGCACGCATGCTGTGGTCCCACCAGCCAGATCCTGGCGATTACCCAATGTCTGCAAGGTGGCCCTTCCTCTGCTTTGGGGGATGGGACTGTACCAGGCCGACCCAGAGTGGGTGCTCAGGGGACCTACAGGGGCCTCACCTTTTGCACCACTCCATAGCTCTGGATGGCGTCTGAAAGCTGAGTTTTCAGACGGTCCAGCTGAAGACGCTCCTGCTGCAAAGAGGGGGGGGGGGGGGT